CCAGGAAAAGGTGCTGAGCTATGGATCGCATGAATACGAAAGACACATGCCTTGACACGGTGTGGACGGGAGCAAAATAGCCCAGGAACACGCCGGTGAGACCATGGCATTTATCAGCCATTTTGGAAGAATATTTTCCTGTTTCCGAGAAAAGTATACCGCTAGGTAGGTGGTGTAGATCACGCCGACCAGGTTCACATGGCTCGACTTAACTTCAGGACAGGGTGGTAACCCATCCTCATTCATTGAAATGCTCGTGAGGAATCAATTGCTCTCGGATTTCCGTGCATTTGTGAGGCCTAATCATACGATAAACAAGCAGCTTGAGCGACATGCGGAGAAGAAAGTAAATGTAGATGCACTAGAATCCAGTCGAACATATCTCTGCCATACAGCCACGAAAGCCTGCCCAGTACTATCATAGACGGTGACGTTCGCGAGGGCAAATATGCCATTCAGCTATGCGGCGATACCTTCCCCGGTAGGGAGTTCGTCCACCACAGCGATCTGCGAAGCTTGGGTTGCAAGTGACTTGGAGACGGCAAGGCCTATGCCAAAAACTGTGGACGATAACATTAGATTGGCCGTCCCAAGTTTATGCATATTATGGCATCCTGTCAGACTCACCACCACAGGTGACCAGCGCGACTTTCACCATACTTCTTTGGTATACCCAGAATTCGGCTTCTGAACAGATATGTCATTGCTGTGGAGATGTGCAAATCGATGATACGGGGTGAGAGACCAGGCTCAATTCTTGAAACCAAACCTCGCCTCTCAAGTACAACTGCTTCACATTACATCCGAATCCGGAGACATTAATGTCTGATCCAATTCCAGTCACCCCAAACGTAGAAGATAGAAGAGACAACGTACACCAATCTAGTGAGTGTAGAAAACGGTAGGCTCCACCAAATGCATCTGAAAGCTATAGTCGAGCCCTGAGCAAATCATTGGAAGGAGTTTGCAAGTATATACAATGCCTCAGATATATATGCTTCCTCTGCGCGTTGTGACCAGGACATCACGTCAACCTATCTTTTATCATATTTGGAACACGACATTTCGCAAACAAGCAAATCCATTTCCCACCACGGTCAGGAAATCATGGAATCTTACGACCAGAAGTACCAAAGTCATGATTCCAATCTAGAAACATTTGAATAAGCCTCCTTTAACAGGTCTCAAGAAACTCAAACCCAAATCAAGAAACGCCTCTCGTCCAAAACATAAACCTCTCGCAAACAAGCTTAAACTCAATAGCCGTAAGCCCTTTCTTGGCCACCAGAACCTAAACTCCAAGATAACGAGGGCCTTCCTTGTTAAGTAAATCTTTCGGTCAGGATAAAGGAAATGACAAAAATGTGGTTGGGAAGCTTATAGGAAAGTGTTCTATTGCTAAGTCAAGGTTATGCTCTTTATTAGTATCATTGTAGTTCTATGACGCCTATAACTACTAATTATATATAATGACATGTAGTGCGACAGAAGGGACCGTTCGTCATCGTATTGCAAGTCCCTAGCGGCTAATATCGAATGTGCGAACGACGTATAACAGGCCGCTTAATTAGTATAAATATAAATATATATAGCGTCTATCCGAGTCCTCAGGACGTAGGTAAGGCTATCTTCAGTTTTGTTTTGGGATATTGTCCATGCCGTTGTGATGTTTTCTCTTCATTCTTGAGACGTGGAATGAAATATGAGCTAAGATTGGATTGTGGATGGTACTTTATAGAGTTGTGACCTTAAATACTACATAATGTGTATGAAACAGGGATATCTTGAAAAGTGAAGAAGATAAAATCAAGAACTTGGACAGACAAGCACATAATACTGCGCAACCCGTTTTCAGCTTTCTACCACGTGATCTAGAGGGCAGCCTACAGTTATATAATCTCCTGCAGATTCATTGCACAGCTGCCTTAGCACCTGTAGTACTCTGTACTAGTGAAGGCCCAAGAACTCCTATCCTGGTTGGTTCTATTACAACCCTAACGTGCCCGTTGCGGCTAATCTCATTCTAAAAAGCCCCGAGACCTAGGGTATGGCACTCACTTGGACCAACGCACTTCCAACCGTCAATGGCAGACATTCATCAATCATAGTATCCAACACGCTCACATTCCGAGTTTCGCAACCTCTACTCCCTCCTCAAGCCCGCTGAGTCTCAAATTGATCACCTCCACTGGTCGGGGCGCTGGGGTGACTGGAGCAGCTGGGCACCTTTTGAGACCCAGGATTCGGCCGTAGACTGCATGGCTCCTTAAGCATCATCGAGGATGAGGATTTGGGTCTAGACACTGATGGAAGCCCGGCAAATCCGTCCGGTAGTGAGAAGAACTCCCGTGATTCGCTATGAGCCGGACCTGACTAGTTAAGCGAGTCGATCTAACCTTTCCTAATTCGGACGGTTTGCGATCCATCCACTTTCTTTCTCTCATGTCTATACACAGTAACATAACTTAATACAGATCCTCTATATACTATGCTTCGATTAGTTGGGTAAAAAAAATATTGTAGCATATCGAAAGTAACTTCATTCTGAAAGCAATTCAATTCTAATACATAATATTCTGCATAGTATGGATATGGAGTTGTCTATTAAGACTAAATTGGCTTGATCGGGTATAATATAAAAAAGTGGGACTCAGGATCACTTATTGTATCACATTGTCGAAATTAGGGAAGGTCAGATCGACTCGCTTAACTAGTCAGATTTAATCCGACTGGATCGAGTTCTCTTGAGTCTGCTTATAAGTTATGATTTCTTTCTCGAACTTCAATCCGACAGCTTCTGGCAAGCGTTGATTTCTTCCATAGACACTCAGTCGCTCCTTCATTCCTTACTTTCTATTAGCTCTAGTCATTCCTTTTTGAATATTTCACTTCTCAATATGCTCTTCAACAGCCCCTCGACTGTCCTTGTGGGCGCATTGGGCTGCATATCGTTTTTGTCCCAGCAGGCATATGCTGCGCATATTCCTTACCGTCACCGACATAGCCAACATAGCCCTGGAGGCTTCCATCAACCTGCTCCGCCAGTTAGCGCATGTGCAGCAGGTGCTCCAGCTGCCACAGTGACTGTGACCACAACGACTGTGGTCACAACGACTTTGGCTGCTGAAGACATCGATGCTAGCTCAACAGTGTTGAGCATCATTACTCCCACGGTTGTCCCGGCTTCCGATGCCCCTGTAGCTACTTCCAGCTCCAGCTCCAGTTCTAGCTCCAGCTCCGCCTTTACCTCTGTCGTCACTGTTTCCTCTGCGTCTTCCTCTGCGTCTGCATCCACCTCTGTCTCCACCGCTGTCCCTGCCTCTTCGTCAGGTAGCAGCACTTCAAAGGCAAAAGTCATCATCCCGTACTACCTGTACCCATCAACCGGCGCATGGACGCCCCTGGAAGAACTGTAAGTCTATCTCCAGCAAAGCCGATATCAGGGAAACTAACCAAGCCAGGATCGTTGCCAATTCCGATGTTCAATTCACCATCATCATCAATCCCGATAATGGCCCTGGCTCAAGCACTGCCTCCGACGAGAACTTCCTTGCAGCAGTGCCCCGACTCGCCTCCTACGGCAACGCACTAGTCCTCGGCTATGTGAGCACTCAGAAAGGAACTCGAGACATTTCCGAGGTCGAAAAGGATATCCAGACCTACGCCGCATGGCCATCTATCAGTGGAAAATCCTCCTTTGCAGTGCATGGCATCTTCCTCGACGAAGCCGCCACCGATTACAATGCTGATACCGTCACCTACTATAAGAACTTGGCTTCGACTATCAAGCAAAGTGACGGACTTGGACCTGACAACTACGTACGTTACGCCCTTACATGATAGTACACTAAATAAACTAACCGATATAGATTGTCACAAACCCCGGTGCAGTTCCTGACGAATCCTACCTTGATATTCCCGATTCTACTGTCATTTTCGAGTCTGCATACAGCGAGTTCCAGTCCGCATACTCGGCCAACGAATTTGAGAAGATCAAGGGACTGGATCTGAGCCGCTTCGCTACCATGGTTTACGATATCCCGTCCGATACCGACCTTTCGACGTTGATCACGCAGCTGCGCAGCATCTCTAGCCATACATATATGAGCAACCTCGACACGTATCAAGCCTATGATTCGTTGTGGAGTACGGTGGTGTCTTTACTGGCTGCTTAAGTCAGTCCGGATGACGGGAAAAAGACGATTGGCATGCTCCGGTCTTTTTCCAAGTCTTCCTCAGTCTCCGATATGCCATCCAATGTTGAGTTAACGTACCTTATGATCACGATCATGGTCAACGAAATCAAATTGTCTTCAAGAAACTACACATCGTTCCGTAAGGCTTATATCTTGAACTTCTGCTACTGAGTCAAGTAAGATGTAAAACGGAATGCACGAGAAATAAAATAAAATTAAACAAATAAAAAGGGAAAGGAAAAAAGAATATAAGGCGCGCAAGTGAAGACTGCCCCAAAAGAAGTTTCACGAGAAAAAAGTCCAAACCCTTCAATGTCGTTCACAACCGCGCATTCTTACTGTAATCAAGGTGGAAATAAGCAGCTATTGTTAATTACATATAGAATGTACCTTTGGGTGCCGGAGTTGCCGAATACGGCCATCCTGGTCGCCATTTTCGGCCACCTCGGCCCCGGAAGCTAAGCCTAAAACGGAAATAAATATGCGCTGCCTTAAATGCCAAACTTACACCGGCGGCGCCGTAACGGCGATACAGCCAAGCCAAGGTCCACCAGATGTGGGTCCCTCAGTATCTACAGAGTATACTGCTGAGGCAACTCAGCGAGATTCGCTGCGCCTCCGTCACTCTGCAATGCCCGCGGTAATGGTAGTTCACGGAAGCACCGAGTCACCGGCGGAGTCCCATTTTGGATAGAAATAAAGTGGAGTGTGTCCTCTTACCTACTGGATGCGTGGTATCATTCCTCTTGCTCATCTCATTGCTCATCTCTTGCTCGCCGCCCATTTCACAATCTTCTTCGTGCAATGACATACTCAGGCCTTCCCCGAAGAAAATATGCTTCCCATAAAGACAGCCATGGCCACAAGTCGTACCTGTACTATGCCCAGCGGCGTAAACTGCATCTTGAAAACGGACCAACGCTAACCAAGTACTCTCCAAATACCAATATCTCTGCAGCATCGGTCAGAGGGAAATGGGCGAGGTAATCCTACAACTGCCAATATCCCCCTCGGTCGCATGTCATTGACTGCCATTATTGACAGGTTCTGCTCTGAGGTACACCTTGATCCGGATGATCTCCTCGAACGCATGACTTCAGCAGATGTGAACTCCTGGTTTGATTGGATCGAAAGGAACTTTAAAGGTTCCATCAAGGCCCATAGCGCCCTTGCCAACTACTGGAGGACCTTGAAGAGGCTATACTTCTTAAAGAATCACCGTGAGATGGATGCAGACATGAAGAGAGACTGCATTAACGTGAGTGCCTTGCACTATATGATTGCTCAAGAAGGCTGACGGGTCCCCCCGACTATGTTAGTATATGAACGTTATTAGTTCAAACATGGGCTTGCGTAGGCATCCATTGCCAAAGCAGACAGCCGCATCGGACGATCTTCTGCAATTCCTTGTGTCGCATCTTGTGCACTGTGATTCAGTATTCGCGGATGAAAAGCAACGTCTCTACCCTTTGGTGGGTCTCAACCTATCAAGCATTACTGCCTGTCGAGCAGTATCGCTTTTTGATACAAGGCATCCGGTTCAACTTCAGGCGGACGGCAGCCCGATCCTCACTGCTGGAGGCGTGTCGGACGATGCTAATAGGTCTTTGACCCTATCTCCGCCGCCAAGTAAAGAAGTCCCACCAGATTCAGGCCATGACTCTGGTATACAAAGCGATGATGATAAGCGCGGATGTGCAACATCTGATGACAGCGCGTATACCGACTCAGAAATAGACACAATGAGCGACGGTGGCGACCTGTCCGACTGCTCCAGTGTCACAGATGATGGGTATCTTAATGGAGATGAGACGACAGGCACCATCCTTTGGCGTCACGTGGAGTTCTATGTTGTCCGTAACCTGGTGCCCGAACGTCGCCATATCCTGGCCGCCATCGTGACACTTTTGCACACCAAAGGGGAAGATAGGAAACCTCGACTGTAAGTCAAATCTAGCATGCTAAAGCAGCACATCCTTACCCATTTATAGGAAGAGATTTGTTATCGAGCACGAGGACAATTTAATATTCGACTTGTTATCACAGCTCCTGGCACTTGCACTACACGATGACATTTTCGCCGCTACTATTAAGGACGTATCGCATATATATACTGCCCCAATTCCTGACCACCGCAAAGGTATTCAACTGAAGATCAAGAGAGAGACGCTGGACATACCGGTGTTCCGTGAGCCCGAACATACACCGGAGGGTTACCGAACTTCCGACTTGCGGCCTCTGAAGTCCAGGACTTGGAGCCGAATCATCAAACGAATCGGAGTACGAAGCGGCCAGAGACACAATCTAACACAAAAAGTTCTTCGCCGCGGTGGGAGAAATGCTATCAACAGTAAGTATCCTCCACACCACCAAGCTCTAAGTCTAACAGTTGCATCAGAATAGACACTGCGCCATCCTCGGTCCGTGACCAAGTCGCCGATCACGAATCCAATGCTGTGAAATACTATCTGAACGAGATAGTCGACTTTGATACCGCTGCTGCATTTCATAAACGGCCATCAAACGAGGTTGTCCAGCGCGAGCTCAGATCAGCTACGTTACTTGCCGATAACACCGCACCTATCGGACTGACAGACGCTCAGGCTCAGAGAATCTCCAGAAACCCAGAGGTTCGTCGGCTTCGCAGAGTCTGTCGCGCATTAACTGCGGAAGTCTACAACCAGGGCTATAAAACTCTGAAGGAGGCTGCAGGAACCGAGATTGGAGAGAGGAAGAAGCAAGCCGATGCTGAGCTGAGCAGTATGCTTACAAGGCTCCGAGAAGAGGCCAAAGAGAAGAATCGGCAAAGGCACTTTCGGCGTACTGATACCGCTATATTCAACCAGCAGTATGAGAGAAATGAGCACTTCAATAAGAACAAAGCGCAGCCTCGCCTTACCCAAACTTACCAGATCGCTGAGCGTAATGAATTGGTGGGCCTGTTGTGTTATTCTACTCCCCCTGAGAAGGATGTGGATGCTCACCTTCGAAGGTTGAAGTTTATACGTCTTTTAGTCCGGTGGCAAAACCGGAAGGAAAGCCCACGTCGAGGGAGACAGACCATGAGCATTACCATGCCGCAGCCTACCGATCTTTCACTCACCGCTGGAACTTCCTCGGACAGATACGACCCACTGCAGTGTCCATTTTGTCTCTCAGATACTCGTCTCCCTCTTGCTGATCGTGAAAGAAGGAAGAGCAAAATCAATAAACTATGGGACCACGTCGAAAATATTCATGGGCAAGAGCTTGCGGCGTTTGACTCTGGATTTCGGAGGTGCGGACTATGTGGGATGAGAAACATCGACTTCATTCCATCTAGTGTGCCCAATTTCAAGAATCACACTCAGACGGTCCATGGAATCAGGCTCGGACCGTGAGTTGAGCCTGACATGGATGGCCTGGAGGCTTTTTGTGTGTTCACGCAGGGGTACATGTTGTTTTTCTCTTCAGATATTGCTCTAGAATTCCTCCCCGAGCCTCATATCGCATAGTACTCTGCAGTGACTTCCTCCATCCATACCAAGGTACGATGCACGAATGCATTCATTCAATTTACTTTGCAGTCAAGAAGCATGTCAATCGCATCTGTGGATGTCCTAAGGTACTTCATGCGGAGAACTTTTAGTATTTGAACGGCTGAAGCCAGTATTCAACACCGTTTGGGAAACTCGCTCTTGACCATCGTTGAACGGGAGAGGAGGGCCGAGCAAAAGGAAGGTTCAACTTCCTGACTCCCGGAGTCAAGAGGCCAGAACTCCTAGGTAGAAGTTTCGAGAACAAAAAGATGGGCAACGGAGAAAACGGTCGGGTACGGGTAGGGTTCGAGGGGTCAGGGGAAATGAATTCAACCAACTAGTGTACAGCCTCGCAAGACAATTGCTCTCACCAGTCGCGTAAGAAGCATGAACTTATTTGACTAGCATCGCCAGAATCCACTGTCAATGTCTCTTGATGTAGATCAAATCGTTTCCTGACCCCTGATTTCTTCCCATAGATGTTCTTGTTCCTTGACAGAGGATCGACTGGTCTCACCATCTCTCGCCACGACACGCACAAGGCTTCAATGTTTTAGTAATGCAGCGAAGCGAGGCTTCTTTAAATCTGGGCACGGTACAACCCGCCGATCCATGACTCCAAAAGCCCCTCAGCCTCGTCGGCAAGGAGAGATGCGGGGAATAGAAGGGATCATCTGATGCAACTAGGGCAGGTCGCAGCCTTGTGTCCATCAGGAGGCTCCCCCTTCACTACCCTCAATGATATGCCAATGATATCCCTACAGTGAAGGACTTGGAGACCACACACAATCTTCGAGATGACTACAGCGGACGGTGATAACGTCGCTCCTGCTGATACGGCCAGACCTTTTCTGCACGATGCCAGTCCCGAACGACATGATTCGCCCCCGCGGTCAGCCTCTGCCATAGACGAAGATGACAAGAATCAAAACATGGTGAGAACGACTGCTTCGGTCAATGACTGGCTGACTGAGCCCCAACGGCTGGATCGCTCGGTCGGGATGCGAGTCCTCCGAGGATCGATTGGACTGTTTGGCGTGCTTGCGTCAATCCCTTTCCTGGTTCTCGCCGGAGTCGCCTTTGATCGAGTCGGCCGGGAGGTGGACCAAAAGGATTGGGACCGCATCCAGAGCGGCATGTCGGCGGTAAGTATTTTGTTTGATGAAGTGGACTCCTATTTCAGCATGGGCTCATAAACAGCCATAGGCCGTGACAGCATTTCCGATCATCTTTGCGGCGGTCATGGGTCGGCTGCTGAAGGCCATTGCCACCTGGCAACTCGAGAAGGGCGCACGACTGGGAATTCTCGAGCAGTTGCTGGGTAGCTCGACCGTCGCCGGCGCCTTCACCACTCAGCTTTTCTTGCGGTCGTTCAATCTCCTTGGATTGGGCCTCTTGCTGCTATGGGCGTTGTCGCCTCTGGGAGGACAGTCGTCGCTGCATATTCTTCATACCACACGGCAGGCGAACATCACGGCGGCGAATATCACCTATCTTGATTCAACAATTCAGCCAGCGGCCAATATCGGGGGCGATGTGGAGACCACCACATCCCAGCAGGACGCGCTCTATCTTTCACTACTGCTGTCTCCTGCATCTGTCAAACAATCGCCCATGGACTTGTGGGGGAACGTCAAGATCCCCCTTATGTCTCGGCTGAACACCACCGCCAACGAGACAGGATGGCGGCACATCTTGGATTCCTCTGTCATCTCGTATGCATCGCTAATGGGAGTTCCGATGGAAGGTATCACAGCGCGTGGGAACACGTCGTTCCATCTCGAGACGTCCTATTACGACCTCGATTGCTTCGACATCAGTATGCAGCAACGGGCCATCCCATTCACTGAGGATAGCTCGCTGAACTTTACCTCCCTCGGTCTACCAGGGGTGCATGTCGCCGCCACGCCAAAAGGGACCTTCCTCGGCGGCAATGGCAGTCTGTCTTGTCCCATGGGCTGTTCGCTATCATTCAAACTCGGCCTCGACCGGTACATCTCCACTGGCATCTCCGCCAACCTCATGGCCTTTCCAAATATCACCGGCAACGAGCAGACTTACTTCCCGGACCCGCCCATCTTCATGTTCCAATCTCGCTGGTGGGGGGGGCCTGGTATCACTTCATTCACCACCGCCTACTGTCACCTCTACCAGATCTACGTCGAAACCGCGGTGACGTGTGTCAGCGATGGTGCCTCCACGCCGCAGTGCGCGGTCACAGCAATGCGCGACAGTCTCCGGCCTCACCCGGCCAAGGACGTGACCTTCTTCCTTTCGGCACTCATTATGCAGAACTTCGCCGACAGACTGGTGGCCGGGTCATCCCGCGGCCACGCCGCAACCAGCTCCCTGACGGAGCGGTACATGAACAACACCGCGAACCCCATGCTCGCAGACGTCCGGGGTGACCTGCCGCTGTTCCAGCTGCCGCCGAGGACCTTCTCGGAGCGCTTGTCGCAGGTCATCAACACCTACTACCTAGCCGGCCTGCAGCCCTTTGGGACGACGGGCAACCTCTCTGCAGGAGCCGAGATCGGTCCCCGCTATGCGCCCCTCTCGGCGACGGGCCTGCGCTCCGTCTGGAATCCCACGCGCTACCAAATCAACGCCGGCTGGATGTTCATGTTCCTCCTGGCGACGATTACCATGCTCGTCGCCGCGATCGCGTGCGGCATCCTCATCGACCGCACCATCGTCCCGGACATACTGGGCGCCGTGTCCAGTATGACACGAGACTCGACCCGTGAGCCCTTCCCCCACGGGGGCAGCACTCTCGACGGCCTCGATCGCGCGCGATTACTGAAGGAGGTGTCCGTTCGTCTCGGGGAAGTCCGGGACGACAGCTCCTCGACCAGGTATCTCACCTTTACTGGATCGGAGTTTTCGACCCGTGCGCAGCGCGAGCGTTTGTATGAGTAAAGCCATTACACATGCTATTGAACATGCCAGTAATGGTGACTACAGGGCGATGGTACGACATTCAGAGTACACATTGTTCTGGGATCCTGACTCTAGTTACATTCTAGCTACGTATCCATGTGAGGTTAATATGTACGATATCACTTATGAGACGTCTACATTCCTAGGCACCCTGCCAGACTATGGGCCATCCATGACTCCTGCCTCTTATTCGGGATTATCACCAGTAGGCCTTATTTTCATTGTCATTAGTAATGTAACCGCCATGCCAACTTTCCATGCTGGTGTGTCAAGCGTTGCGCTTTCAGTTCCACACGATAACTCTCCAAGATTACAAGCCTGATTATTTTGGGAGCGGGCACGGTGACCATAATTGGAGAAGACGTGAATATACCTACTCGAGCTTGAAGCCGTCTACAGACACCACAGACAATTTTTTGCCTACAAAAGATAGACATGACACCAGTATTGATTGTAAGAAGCACGTATAGCAGGACCAGATACATTGCCACTAAGACAAATCATTTTCCATCATCCACTTCCGCGTCCCGGGGATGAGCACCTGCACGAGTGGCGCTGCGATCATTAGACCTGGCCAGACTGCCATAGTCTTCAATGCACGCGCGCTCCGACAAGGTAAGGCCCATGTTAACATCGATCAAAGCACCTGATTGTATGCGGACTAGCTCCCCAACCAAATCATCTAGAGAAATTCCTGTTGTAGAGACAGTGTCGATACAGTCAAGCCCGGAGTAGTTGTAGATAACCCCGAATCTGCAGCCTATCAGTACGGGAAGGCTGAATATCACAATTTGCACTTACGCCCATTGAACACAGTCGCAGAACTCCCGGGGTCGCTCCATGAATGATGGCGGAAGCCACAAATCCTCCAATAGGTCATCAATTGGGGGTTTTCCGTTCTTGATGCGAAAGCCGATGGAACTGACAACCTCTGGAAGAGGGTCCCGTGAATACCGAAGTACATCCTTCGACAGATGGGCGTTGATGCACTTGCCAGATTGACTGAACGTGATGACCCAGTGAGACTGGCAGTATTCCCTTGAAATGAGCTTAGCCTCGATCAAGCCCACGCCCATTATACTTTCGACCGTCGTATCTTGGCCAACGGTATCCGGACGCATAGAAGACATTGTGAGAGTCAAGACACCGTCGTTTTCGGAAACGCTCATTATCCCCGTCTGATCCTCCGGTATACTGGACTGAAGTAGTAGCAGATTACTGCAACCAGAACAAGTATATACCAGCCGAAATGCAGGAAGGCCTGACAGTCCTCGTCATCTTCTTCGAGATGGCACTTGGTCGGGTAGTTTGCAGGAATGGGATGGTTCAAGGGCGTGCAGACACGGCTTTCGTTACCTCCTCCCTCTTGAACTTCCCATCATATCCTTCGATCTTCCATGCGAATGTGTTGAGAGGAAGCGTAGCGATGAGGAAGGTGGTCGCAGTTGGGAGTTTCATGGTGTGTGTTGGACTAGCTCTAGAGAGGTAGTCGTAAAGTCAAGACTTCAAAGGAAAGTTAAGATGCCTGATTCTAGGCACGGAGGGAAAGGGAGAATGTCCAGGCTTAAATATGAATAAGAGGCGGGAGGTATGAGATGAGATGAGTGCTGAAAAGGAAACCTTTTCCGGTAAAGATTCCAATTCCTTATCTATCCAGTAGATCTAGGAATTCCTCCTACATCCCACCATGCATTCCACTCCCCCGTTTCCATACCGGACTATACTCTCTATCCATGTTTGTGTTAAGTTCACTAGTGGTGAAAATCTTATACTTCATGTGACATCACCTCAAGCCATTTAGTAAGAGAGATCATTCACTGAGAGGACTCTGAGCTTGTGAATCATGTGTTAATATTGACAGTTCATTGCATGAGCCTAGATTTTAAAGGGGAAGATTGGCGTTTGGCATGGAAGAAGATCTCAATAAGGTTGTGAGTCTTAGGGTTCAGATCGCCATAGACTGCATATATAACGCGAAGAGAAGTAAGGGATGGCAGCTAATGTGATTTCCCGTACATCTCACATTCTTCTACCTGCTCTTAATATAGACAGAGAGGAATCATTGCCAGTAGAAAAGTTATAGTTTTATAGAAGCATATGACAGTGAATTAGCATCGAACTTAATATCGAGGAATTTGGATTTTCAGTTTAACCTCTTATACGGAAATAAGTTCCAGCTTCTGGAATAAGACAGCCCAGACTACAAGCCTCCTAGGGATCAATACAGTTCATGACGTTTATTTTCTGATGTCCATATTAAAGCAGTAAATTAGTAACCCACCACCGGGAATTACAGATATAAGTACAGCTAATTATAGCCTTAGGAGCTGTTATTTTCAGTATTAATTTCACATATCCTTATATATAATTGTAATAGTGGAGTTATGTCCTTCAAATGTACAGTAGATGTACGAAACAGGGATATCTTTTATAAAAGGTGAAGAAGTCGAAACCGAGAACCTAGACAGACAGTAGCAGGAAACCCGGATGAGAAACAGCCGTGTACCAAACACCGACTATGCTCCGCGGACCAAAATATGTAGAGCTATATAGCCTTATTTTATGCACAAGATTAACCTGCAGAATAGGCTGTTAGCCCCTGTGCAATAAGAACCCGTATGAAAGTACTCACCCCATCTCATATAAGAAACCAGGGACGAACGAAACCAACCAACCAACGCCCCTCCCATCCTTGAACCCCAAAAGCATATATGTGCAGTTCGAAAGTCGTCCGTGACGATACAGTGTTCATAATTCTTGCGTATCCAAACCCCATATCTCGTAGCGTTTCACAACATCCCAGCCCACTCGTCGTACCCGACGTCTCCATACACGACCATTCGTGAGCGTTGTTGGTAGACAAGGGTTGAATTCCGATAGTTCTATGGGGTTCTCGCGCGACATGCCCTTCTTAGGTGGTGCTCCTGGGTTCAGCTCATGCTCTCGCCTTCGTTTGCCTAGCAGTGAAGGAGCCTGGCTTGTCCTCGGTGCTGGCCCTGTGGGCGGGGTTTGACAAACCGGGGCTGGAGTCAAGATACTAGAGGCGCCTGTTCCGTCGTCCTTATGCGACAATCCATTTTGGCAAGGCTCTCGGAACCCATTGACCTCCTCGCTCACTAAATCGGCCGGGGATTGTGATTGCGATTCGACGGTACGCTCAGGGGGAGGGACAGCGGGAATTGTATAGTAGTCCAGCAGCTCGAATGCCTTCCAGCCGAAACCGAAAAATCTCAACTGGCTGAATACCTGCGGATCCGCTAGCGATTCAGAGAACTTGTCGATAAGGATGTCGTCGTCGGCTTCCACGATATCTGCAAGAGATAACGCGGATGTAAATACATCTTCCGCCGTACATGACGATAAGCGTCCCAAGCTCGATTTCGGTGGCCGTGGAGTCTGCGGCGACGACGTAGCACCGGTTGGGACTAAAAGGCGCACAGCAACCAGGTTACGGAGGAATGGGAGTAATAGCCCTAGTGTCTCCATGCTGGAAAATTCTGTTGCAAAAGCGAGCTGCTCAAGTTGCGGGCTAGAGTGAACTATGCGTGCAATCGTATTTGATGAGAGCGGCCAGTAGGAAGGGAGCAAGAGATGCCGTAGAGTTGCGGCGTGGTTTACGATTATATTATTGAGGTATGCATCACGGATGCTGGCCTGCAATCCGGGAGAACAGGAGGGTGTGGTGTCGGGGGTATAGGCTGGAGCACTGCCTGGATTGTGCGTATTATGGTCCACCATAGGTGGAGTTGGGGCCGGGTATTCCAAGTGCCTGGGGGATCTCATATCGTTTGGATTGGGCGTGGCATTGACAAAATACAATCTTTCTAATCCAGTGAAATTCCCTAGGAAGTCTGCATGCCTCCTAGTGAAACGATCTTGTCTAATGCCCTTGATGCGGATGACATGAGGCGGAGAAATCGGCCAGGTACTGTCAACAAACGTATTCATGAAGTTGTAGTCGTCTGATTTGGCGTCGGTAAGGATGGTGACATCTTCGACTATGGTCTGATCGAACGCAAGATTGAACTCTTCGGTATGAAGAGCGTACAGATTCTGAAGCCCTAACTTCTTGACTCGAAGAGGTTGCTTTGCAGATATGCATTTGCGGAAGTAGTCATGAACCATGACGCTGGGTTCTTGCTCTTCTCTCATTCGAGGTGACCAATGTAGATTGAGTTCTTGCAGCTTCTTACACTTCCAAAGTAGAGTTGAAATGTCGTCTGGGTAACAGAGAGGATCAATATCGGTGATTTTCAAGCGCCGTAGATGAGGCATTGCGGGTATGACGATCGTTGGTCGAGGGTGACGGCTCGAGGGGAACCGTATAGTCAGCGAAGTCAGCTTAGGTTGTTGCGCCAGCCCGAGGTAGACGGTTTCCAGCATCTTGGTATCGAGCTCCCAGCTAAAGCTTTCTAACTCGTTCATCTTGTCGATGGCCGCCCGGACCACAATATTCAGCATCATGGAGGAATCTGTCACCCGACCGATGCGCGCATGCTCTTCCAGCTCCGACTCCCGCCAGTTTCCCCGAAGTGTCAGCGACCGAACCAGTGATGCGTATGGACGGGTGATAATGGCGTTAAGGCCCATTGAGAAGGGGCTTGCGCTTCCCATCCCTTCAGGCTGATCCCCACGGTATCGAATCCTATCGTAGGATGTCAGGATAATGCTCTTGTAGAGCTGCGGGAGCGTCATGTAGTTGAGGACTCGACATGTTCGACATAGACGAGCAAGATCGCCAGGATCTTCTAACTGTAGGGATAAGAAGTATAAGTTAGCTTGGTCTCTTGCGCATCCCACAGAAAAATTCAAGTTCGACATACGTAGGAGATAATGAACGCGATCAGATTCAACGGTAGAACCATCAGCGACGCTCCGCGCGGTCGATCTGTTGTAACGCTGGCGTCAAACATATTCCGATTGACAGCCGCCATGGTGCGACGCCCAGAGGCGATGTCGTCGCTGCATCGACTAGCGAGTGATTCGAATTAGGAGGGGGAGTGCACTGCGTTGTACAGCGTAAGGCATCGATCGATGACGGCAGTCGGCGGAGAGCGGAGAAATGTGAGTGGAGAGCCTTATTTTTCTCTTGGGACCACGCGAAGGTTTCCTTTGAAGCTAAGCCGCGCCGATCAGCTCAAAGAACTTTCTTGAGGCCACAAAGAGACCCTGGTCACCTCCGCAAAATATAAAATGTTTCCCCTATTACTCCATACTCTTTCTTGATCAAATGATCTTTCGGTCAACTGGAGGAATTTCACGGATTCGATCCGTCTTTCTCAAGGCGCTTCCGACGTCTATCTCTTTTTATCTTTGGTGATGCAAGAGGGGGTTTTAGGCAGAGTCTCCACGTAAGCCAGTAGTGACTACTAGTGGCCCATATCAATAATACGAGAATCTCTGTAGCTTAAGCGCGATACTAGTACAGGGATTAAGCAAATCAAGAAGTCAATCTGGAATTTAAAACTTACTAGGGAGAGATAAAAGTACTAACGTACTAAACCCCTCGTCAAGCTAGGCTTAATATCGCAAGTATCTCTCTATCCGACTCTACGGAAGGAAAGCTGCGCCAGCCCAATCAAACGAATTCATATTAAGATGTACAGCATACATAATGGTAGTAAATATATCTCGACACGTAAATCCCATGGGTATCTTTTGTGCACCAAACCCCCTTTTCGCCACTGCATTGGAACCTTGCTCAAACCTTCGGAACGCAGTGTGTTAACCATAGACCTTTCCCAATACCGCATAAAAACTTATGCCTGTGCCCTGTACAAAGTTCCGAAGAAGTAAAAAAAGAGAGAAAAGAAAAAGATCGAGAAATGCAAGACCCCCATTAGATACATCCAGCGATACTCCCGCTAAATCAAGAATATGTCAAAAATTAATGTAAAGAGAAAGAAAATCGACGATATGGATCATAATGAATCGTCTAACTCGGACCGAACGAATGAGATACGCGGTCCGCCAAGGAAATGTAGGCTAGAACATGAGCCTCGAATTCCTCACCGAGGTCTAGAATTTTCCGTGGTGGCATGACTGTCATTCGGTGAATTGGTCGGCTGAGGATGTTGTGGTGATAGCAACCGCTCAGGTGTAGATTGATTTAGCTCTTGAGTTTGGCCATGCCGTTCAGCAACAGAGGGTCTTTCGGGATCGATATTTGTATCAAGATAAGCATGGTCGGTCGACTGTGGACAAGGATGAGATTCACCAGGTCCCACAAGCGCTGCCGCTTCAGGGTCATAACGTAATTCATAATTGCCATAGCCAAATTCTCCTTCGTTGGGCGTTGCCCAAGGCGCAGCTGTGCGGCTCTGTGGTTGTATCACCCTTACCGGCAAATCAGTGCGATTTGGTCGGGGCCGCTGGCCTAGGGATGGTTCAAGAAGACTAGACTCCGTGAACCACTCGGGCGACCATGTGTGCTGGCCTCGACGCCTGGCGGGGATGACCGTAACCGGCAACGGTGTTTCAGAACCTTGCCGTCCAGAGCCGGGCCTCGTTCTGCGATTGAGCGCAAATAGACGATTGATGACGGGTCGCGACAACTCCTGCTCGCTAGTCTCACCATGGTCCAACTCACCTCCATCTCCAATAGGGTCCCCCTGCTCCTCTACCGCTTGTGCTGAAGCAACTTCCTTAGGTAGAGACGCACGCCTGCGCCTGAAGGGGTTGAGTATAGTTCGCCATCGGTCGTCCACGTTGATAATCTGGGGCGACTCTTCCCGGGCCTGCTCCGCCGATATGCGCTCATGGGCCGAATTTGATCGATGCTCCTCGATGGCGGTTTCCAATTCCTTGCCAGCAACATCGCCATAGTCGTCAGCTTCGTTTTCTTCCTCCATATGCGGCATAGCGACCGGTGGTGTAGGGCTAGAGACAGGATGATAATGTACATTGTACACAGTACTGGCAGCGCTCGTGGTGTCCGCCCGGCTGACAGGTGTGACAGCAGCGGGCGGTGGAGTAGGCCGGGCTGCACCCCGTTGACGGGGGTCATTAGACATGGCAGGGTCTTGTACATCAGCACGAGTCTGCCGGTTACGGCCCCCAGGGTGGCCAACTCGAGTGCGCAATGGACGTTGAGTCAACCCCATCATACCTCCCCATCCCGAGGATGTGCCTGTACCTCCTCCTCTGTCGTTCCTATTGTTTTGGCGAGGCCAATCGACCTCTTCAGAAGGAGTCACTTCAAGCATTTCATCACCATCGAAAATTTCCCTGCCGAGGATACCATCCTTTCTTTCATCTCGTTCTAATGCTTCAATGCGTTCTACCCATTCCCAAACAACCACACTGGCCGCCGCCGATCCAACCCACCTAATGTATGTACCCCAGCCAGCGACCTCAGGCTTTGCGATATCCAGAACGAAAAATACAACTGGTATTAGAACCGCACATAACGATAAGAGGGCCACCAGGCAAATATTTCTCATCTTCGGGTGAAAGAACGCGAAGCGATGTTTGGATAGCGAGTAAAAGATGACCCATGCGGCATATAGCAAATTAAGCGCAAGCTCGAAAAGATAACTGAGTGCGGGTATTGCATCTTCATATAATCGAGGCCTTGTAGTGTTGCTCTGGACTAGGAATTTATCCAAGATACTGAATATCGTGTCCAACACAATCAAGGCGAAACCGGCCCATTTAATCATGACCTTCTCTTTATGTCGAGGGAAGAGTCGAATCAGTGTTTGAACCTGCGCGAGCCAGAGAAAAGTGCTCGATATGACTCTGATAACGCGAATTTCCATACCGTCGATGACCTCTGAGGTAAGCGCATCGGCATCAGAGTAGCCGTGTATATACTGGTCCTCGGCCACCTTGAATGAATCGGCAGTCGCAATTGTCAACGATATAGCAACGAGCAGCGCAGCCACCTTCTGCAGCCATGGCCGACCACCAACTCCCACCACCGAGGAATTACCGCTATATGAGCCACTAATCATGCCATGGCGCCCTAGAAAGTTGGCCCCACCACCAGGACCACCAACATAAAACGTGCGTGGCGTTATAAGAAGAATAATGACGAGAAGGTAGCTAACTACTGTTGCACAGCCGATAGCATATAATTGGGGAGTCACCGAAGCGTAAAAGGGGTCACGGGTATCGAGCATTGGAGATGGACCTCTCGATGCGGTCGCCGTACTCGTGCAGACTGGCTCAAAAACGGCATTTTCTGATAGAGCTATCGAATAAGAGAGATTCAGATAAATGTAACCTAGAAATGTTCACAGATGGTCATATTAGCCAGATTTCATGAGACCCGATAGCGCAGGCAACCAAATTCTTGCTCGGGAGTGACATCGCGCAGTCACGTCTTCATTTTGCAGCATACCTTCACTGGGGAGCACGAATGGAGTACATCCGGGTTGGTAAGTCTTCGTAGAAGATGTTGTCGGTTGTGCCCATATCTGGCGAGGGGCTAGACGAACGTCATCCCCCATGGTCGGACGATCAACCTGAGCAGATAGACCACGCGGCTGTAGTCACTCATATATGCCACAGAATCATCCGAGTTACTCTCACCGTTCCCAGTAGAGGAAGCATTCAAAATAGTTCTCAAACCTCCATTGGTCCAGCGTGTTCAACCAAGAAGTTGGTGACTATATGCCGAAAATCGGGTCGGAGAGTGACAGAAAAGGCGCGACGGCAAGGAGCACAAGAGTCAAGTACACGAATAGAATCAAAGCTGTATATGCAGATAAATCGAACGAGGCGATATAAATTGTTAAGCAGTAACCGGTTATAATAGATACGAACGAAGGTCCGGGGTCAGAGAGAGTGGTACATTTTCTATACGAGTTAACTCCGTAACGTTGAACGCCATAAGGATCCGCCACTATGGTCCAGATTTCGGCCATTGGCGTCACCGCCTAACAAAGATGTCGATGATCAGCCGATCACGTTCTGCCCGCATTCTGGAGCAAGAACTTTGTTCTTTGATTCTTTCCTAAGGACTTGAATCTAAATTGCATTGTCCATCCTCTATATACAAGCTGTCTGAGGGTTGTATACACAAAAACACCAGACTCTCGAATTTTAAGAGCCCAACACCACACCGAAGCAAACTGACCGCTGCATGCAAGGGAATCATCCAAAAGCAACGCCAAGAGCCCCCTGGACACAAAACAGATGTGAATCATTATCATTAAATGCAGATCCTTTCCGAACTCTTGTTTAAGTCAAAAATAAAACTCCAATAAGTAGAACGCTGTATTGGGTATTTAGCAAAAAGGGTGAATGAACACAAATGCAAATAGGTAATGCGTCTCGACGGAGGCCGCCATCCGTACCCGCCTTAGAGCGTTAACCTCTCGTCCACGCCTCACGAAAATTGCAACATCAAGGTTATTTCACTTATCGCGACAAAGGACCGTATGCCATCTGCGGAGGCGTCAAGTATGGTGACACGAGGGTTGCTCCTGTAGCCCTGGCTGCATTCGCACGCTCTTCCTCACGTTTCTTTATCTCTTTTTCGTCCTGTATAAGGGTACAGCATGTACAACAGGTCGCTCTAACACAATCTGATGCAATGTCTCCTCGAATACCATATGCTTTGCGGGTTCGTCTATGTTGAAATGTCGCCATGAGCCCTATAGGAACCATTAGCATTCAGTAGCCGAGACCGTGGGATAGTAGTGCTCACATTGACAACCACACAAGAGAGCCATCGCTGTACATGACCCATTACATGTCTCATGGCCTAACATGTTTGTGGGGTCTTCTTTCCTTGACATCTGCGAAAGACGATACTGCGTCTTCCCATATAGAACACAAGGGCACACGATCCCAAGGCAACAGGTCCAAATGTTTGAACAATCGCACATGTCATGACTCCATGTTCCACCTACTACATGTTGATTAGGGTGCGATACCTGGCCTGGCCGATGATATGCCGCAACATCATCTGCCAATGGCGTGTAAGGTGCCCCTGAGGCCGTCGGTGGCCCAGGGAAATAGGGTACTTGTGGAGACTGTAGAGGATTTATGTCCGGCGCGATGGTCGTTGTATGTATCCGGGCTACTTGCGCTGGGGTTTCTGGATAGGTCTTGGCCGGAAGTGGTCCTGGAGAATTTGGAGGCGGCACCACATACGAGTAGTCCGGCACAACTGCATCGTGTTGCTGGACCGGCTGAGGCACCACGTCGGCAAAAGGGGCAGAGATGGCAGGATGCTCTTCATAATTCGGACCACCTGGGTTACCAGGAGCCACCGCTTCTTGCCGCACATATTGTGCCTTCTCATTGAATGGTGGTAGGCGTTGTGGTTGTCCTTGCTCTGCTTCAGCCTGAGCCGGTATAGTATCAGGATTGGACACTGCTAATAATTGCGACGGCGGTGGCTCTTGCTGCTGTTGGCCATTCCGTAATCCAGAAGCATGCATTTCCAGTGGGGTCTCAATGAAGGAATATCGCTGATTGCCCCCCACAGAGGTATCCAAACGTAACTGTCTGTGCATCTTGACAATGTGTTTCCGGTTACGGAAGCTGTTGTGAAGTCCGAGAGCCTTAGTATACAATATCGGGTCGATTCGTGCAAGTCAAGTTTGTTAAGAGGCCTTCCAAAAAGTTCCTGTGGCGACCGAGGTTTGTGTAGCTGGTCACGGTCCGTTCGCGCTTAAGCAGTCTTCTGAAAAGATCTACATCTACATATGGATCAAACGTGTGTGGGCCGTTGATCCTTATCGAATAGGACGACATCAAAGGTAAAGAGGCTGGGTTAACAGAAGATAAGAAAAATATCAGAAGAAGAGATGGTAATGAAGGAGGCAGGCAGTAATTAAGTATAACGATTAGGTCTTGCTTGTGGTGGAGAGAAAAGCGCCAGCCATGATGGTGCTGCGGGGAGGCGAGTCCTAGTATCCGAATCGCAAGATGCTCAATTGGAGAGGGGCAGTCGTTGCGCCCGACCCCTGTTCGGGTGTGCTTTCGTGCTGCATGCTCTTACGCCAGTAGGGATTATTGTTGGTCTGGCGGTAGTTCGGAACCTGCCGTTGGACTGTCGCTGCTTCTCGTCACATCGCCGGCCCCGGCGCATCACGCCTCATGTTCCAATAATATTGGAGGAAAAGCATAACCATCAGGTACGCGCAATGTGACTATTCCGCAGTCTACAGGCGCCTACAAGATTTTTTTTCCCAAAAAAATATGAAGGAAATGAAACAGAAAATGTTAGGTAAATAAACAGGGAAAACAAAAGAGAAAGAAACATATAATAACACGAGCCTTCAAGGTAGATGTGTTCTTTAACTTCATTTAGAGGAATCTCTAACAGAAATTCCATAGCTGTTAAGCTGAGACTCTATTAAATAACGAAAACCATGTTATTTACCAAAGTTCTTTATTACATGAAGAAATACTAAAGTAGACGCCAGAGAAGCTCAGATATTATATCAACTTCCACGTGAAAGCTCCTCACTGCGTACCATAATAGCAAGTTTCTTTAATTAACCAAAACCATATAATCAGACATAAATTGAAAGCTAACTTGGATTATGCTCAGTATTATGCCTTGTCATATTGATAGTTGCTAAATGAAATATTGTGCGGGGATTGATTCAAATGGCTTCAATAGCTGCGCCTAATACTTTGATCCACGGTATTTCCCAAGAGACCATAAGACTGTCTGTCCCCTGGCCTCTGAAAGTATCAGTCTCTGATTTCTATATGCATTCATACTTCTAAACGAACTCAGTAGGCTTCGTTTAATTATACATGCCGACTATATATAGGTCTTTTTGTTATTCATATCCGCTTTATAACCAAGATGTTGTCTACCGCTCCGATCATCCAGTAATCAACTCAAACACCAAAATAATTTTCAATGCCAGTTTACCTTAGAACAATTGACGGGGCTACCGAGCCGTAAATAACAAAGTAATAGAGCATGTGTGACAACCGTTTCTATGGTAGCATGGGTCGGTATATTGATCGCCTCCTGGCAGCCCTTATATCCTAGTCAGTTTTGAAAGCTGCCCCAAGTTAAGTATACACGTAGCAATGTTCTACCTATCCTTACTCCATGGACTGTACAAACTATGATGTGTGGATATAGCCTGTTACTTTCCCTTTCGCCGTCATATTAAATGCCTCACAACTTGTCCATTGCTTGGACTGCATTATTTGTTTGGTTGAACAGCCTAGTTTATTCAGTGTATAATGCATGAAAGACATCATCACGTCAAGGTCAACTCGTAGCCCTGCAACGGTATAGCAACAGCTGACTTGGCCACGCATTCTACCGACGACATTTGTTGTTTGTTGAAGTGAGCTTTGGATGAACTTTCTCCTCCCGTTAGCAAATCCATGGGATGCAACGCGAGGGTTGAAGTCGCGCTTGACACCAACGCCAAACATAGGGCTCAAGTAGATCGAAATCTAAATTATATATTCTGTCTGTGTTAATGTAGACTATGAGCTAACTACTGCACTCACATTTGCGATGAAGCCCGGGTTGATGGGCATTTGAAGCTCAATATGGTGGCTGTTTTCCAAACTTCGGTCGAGGTGAAGAACCGCTCTAAGAAGTGGCTTCTTCGTATGTATACTTGGAATAAAGTAGAGCTCATTGTCTAAATCAAGCACATAGATCAGTCGATCATGGATAACAGCTGCCGAATCAACCTAAACTCTGTCAACTAATGAGTCGAAGTAGTAACAAGAACTAGGATCATTTTGATACCACATGACCAAGCTGAGACATATCTCCTTTACTGAGTATGGTAGGGTGATTATTTGAGGTGCTATACATACAAGATAGACAGACGAGGAGTTCGTCGATGATGGAGGTTCACTATACCATGCCATGGCACATAACAGAGAATAACTAAATGCGCCAACTTTTTGAAGCATAGTATAATCACCTTGAGAGCTCGATATGGCTAGTAAAGTTAGCCAATATGAGACCTGAGTTGGCCTCAACAGAAATTTCTTATTCAAGGTATGCAATGTGACGGTTCATTACTGTCAGCTGGCGCCCGCGGAATCAGTGAGGGACTTATCGCGTAGAACGTCCCAGTTGTCCAGCCCTGATAATGGACTGAAGTTGTAACTATGTATCCCTTTGTCCACTCGTTATTGAACGAGTACCCCTATTATAAAATCCTGATCATTGTACCAGGATTCACTTGGTCTAATGCTACCCAGTTGTTGAAATATGGCATTTTGGAAGCATTTTGTTTTCTTGCTTGCAAGCTCACCCATAAGCAGTGAAAGGTATGGCCACACAGTGTATTTTAAAGAGTAAGACTACTGTTTGATCCATTTAAGAGTATTTGTTCGGAACAGAAAACGATTTTATGTTTGCTGTTTTCGACAGAACCAGTTCAATGATGGGCTAGGACATTAGACACCTGGGCAATAATGCCCTTGGGTCCAATTTTAATGTAGTTAGCTGATACAAAGGGAGAGAATCAATCAGGTTGCAGGTGTCTGATGCCATTGCTCGATATGGCCAGGTTCTAGGTAGCCGATGGGCTAATGTATGATATTAATCGATAGATCCATTCGTGCATATATCTATCTCACTCCAATAAAGAGATTCTAGGTATCGTTCCCTTCTTTTCCGGTCAACAAGGTACGGTGTCAGATGGTCAATGCTTCAAGAGCCATGGTTAGAGTCTATAGGCCTCAATGTTCTTTATACACCTTCTGTTTAAGGTTCTGGACACATCACTTAGAGATTACTCCCGCTATTTTTGATTTGCTGGTTCATTGATAGCCTAGCATTCCGGTCGCTGGATTATTCACTGGCAAAGCTGGAAATAGGGAACTACTTCCAAAAGCGTTGATACCCCGAAGAATGACTCGCATTCGGGCAGCAAGTGAATGATTCAGATAGGATCACGTGGAAGGGCTTCGCTCACCTGGCGGGATTCCTTTTACTTTTGGATTTGGTAATGAAAAGCTCAATGACTGGAGAACCAAGACTTTGAGTTTTACTCTCGGAAAACGGTCCGTTAAAGACCAAGAAAGCCGTGACACCGAGGAAGCCGTCTAGGCGTCGGGTTCTGACAAATATGGTAGGGTTCCCCTTTCTTGGACCTCACGGATGATCATCTATGGGAGTCAGCCAGCCCTGTCCTACCGAGGCGCAGGTAAACGGCATCACATTGGTCAATTTCTACATGTGGTGCTACTCGCTGGAAGCCTTGAAGGTAGCCCCTAGGTATAAGAACTTGGCATCGCGTTACGTTGGGAACTCAACCAAGTATTCTGTCTCAAAGGGAAAGCGGGAGGAATGGGGGAAACTCCAGCTGCAAGGAGGAAGGGATTGACTAGGATGGTATGTCTATTTCCATGGTATATAGATAAGACGGTGAACCCAAGAGTCTCAAAGAAATGTTGATGCCTTATCATCCGTCTGCCGGAAGGTACCATGGCCAAGCAAGTCGATCACGTTGTTCAATGATTGGCAGGTTGGGGCTGATCCGATCATGTGGATGTGGAGATGAAGTGGAATGGAAGGAATGGAGATGGAATATAACCCCATTATCACCGTTACGTTATGGCTAGTAATTGGAGTATGTAGATCCTAAGGGGCGGTTCGTTGAATGATGATGATAATACTAATTTCATGAGTCCTGTGGGTGGCCGAAAGTTTGAGTACCGAGACTTAATTGCTACCTATACCGACCATCGCACGCAAGGTGTCCAATGGAAGCCCCGTGGAACTTTTGAGGGTCTTAATTATTTGCCCAGGAGCAAAATTCAACCGAACCCACCCCCCTTAATAGATAGCAGTCAAGTTATACGAGTCATCTTTAGAATTATTGTTGATTTGACGGGGTCTGCATTCCGAGATCTCCGATTCTCTGGAACAACGTTTGGTTCGTCGTCAAGATTTGATTTTCTCTTATATCATATGCAAAGGGATATACCCATATCATGTATGCAAATAAGATGTTTCACTCCAAATCCCGGGAGGAAATTGGACACATGATAATGACTGTTGAACATTTTGGTATCTGAACTGTGATACTCTACCGTAGCCGTTGAAACTATTAGCAAAAGAGCATCTGAGGTGGATAAGTAGACTAGCCTCGTACTATCGGGCCTGGATGATGGCGCGTACTAGTAGTATTAAGTACAGTAATACCCCAGAGAAGTGGCGTATCCACAGAAGTTTCCAATAGCTTGGGTATCCTTACTGCCTCGGACTGGATGGGAATCAAGATTACCCGGAACAGTATGGAACAGATGACCACCCCTTCTGTTTTGGGGGAATGTCCCCATTCTTATTACTACAGCCATCGCCAGTGATTGGCCCATGTTCATTTCCTCAGTCCCAGGTGGGAACAAGAGAAGGTCCCTTTCGGTGACTTCATGATTCCTTTTTCTTTCACTGTGTGTGTACCTCCAGTTTCATCTTCTTCTGCCATCTTTTCGATATGCCCCCCTTTCCATAGTTTTAGTTTCCTATATTTTACCAATTTTCACTTACTGTCCAGTCCTTTGTCTTCGCATTTGTATGCAGTCAAAAGCGATAGGGTCCAGTCCAAAACTAAATCCCGTGGTCATTGTTTCTGCATTCCCCCCTGTTGTTATCTTGCCATCGCTGTAAACTCTCTTTTTCTAGTATCTTTTAAGAACGCTACTATTCCCTTTTCTTCAATAAACTTGGTTTTTTTTTTTCCAACTCTTTTTTTTAGTTTGTTCTTTTCCTTTTTATTTTGGGACCCACTAAGGCGGTGACGAAGATCCGCGTCATTTCTCGACCAACTGCTTTTCCTCTTTAGTGACTTTACCCTTGCAACTTAACTCTCTTTACCACTAAGAACTCTTCCCCGGTAACTGTTCTTTCTAGTGCTTTCACCTCACATACCGGCGCCGGACCTTGCTACTTCTACTTGACCTCCTAGAACGAACTTGTACTTCGTAGTGCTACTCGTTTTACCTTCCCACCCCTCCTCTCCACCTCCCCAATCCTGATTAATTTATACTCAATTCCATACATACCTCCCAAGCATACCTACTACTAAACCTCCCCGATCCGATAACACTTGCATTGTTCCCCCCCCCATTACCGATGCCTATCATCTCCGGTGGCTGCGCTTAATTTCCAGCCTGTAAGGTGTCCTTCTCCCGGAACGTGGCTAATGCTGCTTGATTTGCTTTGTCTTTTCCATAGGGACTCTATTATCTAACTCGTTGACGCCAGATCCTCTTCCCCCCTCTCTACCTGACCTTTTCGTCGTTGCGCCTGAGGTGAAAAATAACGCACCAACCATAGACTGCCCTCTCTGGCCTCAATCTTCGATCCTCCTGTCGTCGTGCACGCCCGACCAATGTCCTCCCCATGTCAAGTCCTCCGTCTGCATCAGAAAATACCTGGTCTGGACCCCTGGTGACACCTGTTGCGTCTGCCCAAAATGATTGCTCTGACGGGCCCGAACGCCGTCATCACAAGCAGCCGCGCCACCACGCCCGGGATCAGCTCCTCCACCATGGCATCCAAGAAGCTCCTTCTCCCTCCCGTGCTGAATCCCCCACCGCTCATCAATGGGCTAAACCGTCGGCCGGATTCGCTCTAAAAAGGGCTACCACCGTCCCCCACGAGAAGCTCTCCCGTCCTGACCTATTTCACAGCCCCCAGTTGTCGGAGAGAGATAGTATCTTTGCTACCCACTACCTCCCTTCTGATAACGAACTCAGTAATTCGCCGCAGCTTCCGCCCGAAGGAGACACAGACAATGAACTGTCCACGAGCTTGAATCTTGCCGGCGAAAATGCATCCGCTTCTCCTTCTCCAATTCCCTCTTCCAAGGTCCTCCCCCGTCACACTATCGCCAACCTCTCCCACATGGAAGTTGACGTCCACAGAAACCCTTCCTTCCCTCCGTCATTATTGTCCTCTGCTATATCATCTCGTCGTTCCCCACTGTTTTCGGTCGGTCCTGATGTAGACCTGGATAGGCAGTACGAGACGGCTCAACGCAGCCCGCAGATCTCGGGCTGGGAGAATTCGCAACCTCTGCGCAAGACGACCTCGAATGGTACCGGTGTTGAGTCCCCAGAGGAGTCGCTTGCCAACCGTAGTTTAATCTCTTCCTCCCTCAATGATGCGTCTCTTCCACAACCACACTCGGCGGTCCATGTAGACCACCTGCCTGCAGAGACTCAGCACGAGACAACGTCATTTCCAAAGCTTGAACAGCCTTCACCGCACGCTGCGCCTGAACTTGGAATTGGCCGCAGCTTGAGCCGTGGCCGTCGCGGCAGAGTAGATCACTCGATCGAGGCAAACCTGACTAACGCGGAGCCGACGTCTCATGTGCGCAGCCGTAAGTCAAGCCATTATCTGGGTCTGTTCAAGGAAAATACTACCTCACCGGATCGCAAAAGAAGGGAAGACCGTGGAAGACGACACAATGACCCTCTAGAACCATTGGAAAAGCATCAGCCTGCTGTCCACTCTGAACCTCGTCGCCTTGCGGAATTCTCCGACTCGCAACCAGAATTGCTGGTGGCCACGGAGGATTCCAATCTTCGGAGCTCGAAAAGTTTATCTCATCTGTCAATGGCTAATGCTCCGGTGATCACCCCGATTCTGGAGAGCGAGACAACGGAGCGCACGGTGAGCGATGATGTTAGGAAGCCTTATAAAACCTTGCCTCGCAGCTTACTTGAAGAGATCCGCAATTTCCATTTAACTCCGGGTGGTGCTCGCGGTACATCGTTTTCTAAAAGCATCCCGACGCAGTTTGCAGAAGGCGGCAGGGACTATTTCTCGAAGGAGGTCCCTGGTCTCTCACCTTCCTCTGATACAGATCGAGAACGGCGTCGTGGCTCTGCACAATATGAAGATGAAGACGATGAACAAATCTCCTCGGCTGTGTATTATCCCCATGAACGCGTCACTGTTTCTGAAGAGGTTGATCAAATCCAGTCTTATCCGGATGGTCAACGTGGTACGAAACCATTCGACCCATCACCCACGAAGAGTAGTCACGTTCTAGTGCCCAAGAGACATGGCGTCTCTGATGAGCAAGAAAACAATCATGTGGATATATCTCTTCGATCTAAGAATGATAGTAGAATTCTGCACGGTGATTTGCAAGACAGACAAGCTCCACAATTAGAAGAGTTGATTGAAAACCCCCCGAGCGCCACGACCGACCGCAGCAGTGAGTATTCAACGTGTGGATCGGAGTATGGCTCGGCGGATGAAAGTGGCACGTCTACTCGCGACGAAGAGTCGAGTTTGACCGATGAAGCTGAAATGACACCAACTGCTACACCAACTCAACGTCAACGCCTTCCGCGCCGTGGACGCAAGCACAGTACAGAGGCTCCTTTGGGCGCGGTAGAATTGAAACCTTACCGGCACCAGGTCGGTGGCCATACTACCGTCTTCCGTTTCTCGAGACGCGCTGTGTGTAAACAGCTCAACAACCGGGAGAATGAATTCTATGAGCGAATTGAACGCAGACACCCGGAGATGCTCATGTTCCTGCCAAGGTAAATTGATACGGTTTTTATCTTGTTTTGACCTTATTATTGTTAATCCCTGTGTGGAACCGTGCTGATTAGTGCTCCTTTAGGTACATCGGTGTGTTGAATGTAACCTTCTCTAAAAACCCCAAGCGTTCCAAGTTAACCTCCGAGGGAAATTCTGAGGTTTTAAATGGGGAACCTGCAACGGGTGAGACGAATGGTCCCCAACAGGCCAATTCACTAACTGCCAACGGTTCTCGTCCGTCTGAAACCGTGGATCAGCCACGAATTTTTAGTCAGAAACAAGTCACTGGAATCATTCCTAAGGTGATCCTTGAAAACAACCGGCACATCATTCCGGCTGACTTATTTTCTCGCCCACAACGGCCAAGGACTGCGGATGGTACAACGATGAACCGAGACAGATGTCCTCATGGTGTTGCAGCGATGACTGGTGAACAAAGGTTGAGAAATGGATATTTGGACGACACAGTCACTTCTCCGAAAAAGCCCAAGATTAGTTGGGGCGCCACGACGGTCAATCGCAAGCTACAGGAGCAGGTTCTCCGAGAGGTCTTCAGTCCTCCGGCTATTCACCATCACCGGCGTCATGCTCGAGGCCACATCACATTACCAAGAATGTCCTCGGATAGTGTCACACGCAGGAGGGCTAACTTGTCCGAGGACCATACCGCTAGTAGCCGTCGCAATGCATCCGTCCCCAATGAACCACCACGGTCTGCTGCTATAGACATTACGAAGCAAACAGGTGAAGGCCCTGGCTTATCATCGTCAGCGTCTACCGCTTTAGACTCGAATCATAACCGCCTCCAACAAATTCGAACAGAAGAGTCCGAGCCACGCTCCATCTCAGTCTCACGGTCTCGCCGGGTAAGGCGCCGCCATTCAGGAAGTGGCTTGCAAAGACGACGGAGTATGAGCCCGGGGAAAAAAGAAGGCGACCTTATGTTCTTCGAAGACGACGGGTATGGTGGTGATGGAGAGGACGAGATATTCTCCATGGAAGCGGATGCTCAGTTGGTGCCATCAGCTACTCAGAGCGTGAACCCGCCCAACTTTGAAGCCTCGAAAACCGATATAGCCGATGCAGTAGAAACCGAGGATGGTTCTGTTGCCGATATGCCACCGAAGGATTCCACCCTTGTTCAGCCAAAAGATGACAACCGCTTCCTCCTTCCTTCTAATCCCAAAGAGGCACAGACGCGGAAGGATGAACGTGTGCAGTTTTTCTTGCTGTTAGAAGATCTCACTGCTGGCATGAACAAACCTTGCGTCCTTGATCTCAAAATGGGAACACGCCAGTATGGAATTGAAGCTAATGAGAAGAAAAAGAAATCTCAAAGACGGAAATGCCAATCAACAACCTCTCAGCAGTTAGGCGTCCGGCTCTGCGGTATGCAATCTTGGAATGTGAAAAAGCAGGAATATACATTCGAAGACAAGTACTTTGGCCGGGACCTAAAGTCAGGGCGCGAATTTCAGGACGCCCTCACCCGGTTCCTCTACGATGGTGTCAGCTATACCAGCGTGGCGAAGAAGATCCCTGTCATCCTTGAAAAACTGTCCAAATTGGAGAATATGATCCGAAAGCTGAAACGGTATCGGCTCTACGCTAGTAGTCTTTTGATCCTTTATGACGGCGAGCAGTCTTCCCATGAGAAGGTTCCGCAGGATGAAAAGAGCGTTGACAGCAAGCGAATTCCTTTGCAACGCCGTGCCTCTGATGAGGGACATAATAACATGGACGTTCAGCTGAAGATCGTCGACTTTGCAAACTGTGTCACTGGCGAAGATGAGCTTTCTCCGGATGCACCTTGCCCCCCACACCATCCTGATGATATCGACCGCGGTTATCTGCGCGGCCTACGGACCCTCAGAATGTACTTCCAGCGTATCTTAAAGGAGCTCACCCAGGATGAATATATTGAACGAGGAGAGGGCGAAGCCATTGCTCTAAGATCCCAAGTGTCTGGCCAAGAGGACTTGTCCGATCGCTATTGGGATGAAGGGGTGATGGAAAGCGATCCGGGTGAAGTCAGCTATTAGGGTTGATCTCACATTCTACTGTTTTTATCCCCCCTCCCTCTCCCCCCCCCCTTTTTTTTTTGCTATTGTCACGTATCCCCTGCTTGATCCCTGGTTTATTTTTTTATCTTCGTTTTTGTCTCCACCTTTTTATTCTATTTCACCTTACCAAGTTCGGAGTTAGCGGCTTTGCATTCCCTTCCAAGTCAGTCGATCAAAGAATCATTTGAGAACAGCGGGATACGGCGTCAAAATTGCATGGCAATGGACCAGGCGTTATCGTTCCACTTGTTTCTATTCCTTTCTTCCCTGCGCACGTCCAATGATGTCGACGACACTTAACGACCCACCCGGGTGATGCGGTGGAGGAGTTTTTCGACAACCGATAATACGATACTGATGATTGATCATGGCACAATGCTCACCTCAGAGCCCTTGTCTATACATGCCTGGAGCATCATAGAAGGTCTTTCGTGCGAGAGCGATTCCATTCTGACGGCGTGCATGAAATTGCCCTTTATCTATTTTCCTTTTCTTTTTATATTCCCTTGTCTAGGTTTGTTCCTATTTCGGACATGTCTTGTTGATTATACCTCCCGGGAACTTGTCCGATTCCCTGGACCTTTTCCATGTTGAGCTATAGGGGTGACTTTCCAGAAGTATGTTAATGTACATAAATGGTGGGGGGCTTTAGACAAGAACTTCATAATCATACATGTTTTATTTTGTGACCAGGCCGAAGTAGTATGGCAGGTAGACAGACTGATACAGCGCACAACGCAAGTCAGCCGAGGGAATTGCCTAAAAGGGGGATACTGAATGACTGATAAACACACGTCACGTGCGGTCGGCGATAAGCGGTGTAATCGCCAGCAGATGCATGACTCTTTCTCCTCATCCCCTTGCCTCACAGTTCCATAGGTCCGTCTGTCTACCTTGTTCTCGTGTGTGTGGGTGGGTATCTTCTATCTCAAGTTTATTCTGTATAACTCTTTTGGAAACTTCGTTCTCCATAAACATGTCATTTCCTTAAACTTCCTGGTGACGTAGCGGAGCCGAACCTCGGAGCTCAGTCAACTGATCCCCCCAGCTACCTGCCCAATTGCTCACAGAAACAGTATACTGGGCCCTAGCTTATCCAGCTCGGGTAGGCATATATATATAGTCTTTGAAAGTTCTCTATTGTTCGAAAATCGTCATCTTTAAATTCTCTCACTGGCCAGTCCAAACACGAAATGCCTCCGTCCAATGGTCGGGACCCCTCTATTGATAAACGAGACTTTGACACAAACCGTCCGTTACTGACTACCTATGACTCTGGCGGGGACATGGAGGGTAGAGATATACACTCCCGGCCAGGATCCAGGATCTCTGCACGCCGTTATAGCGACGGTGAAGACGGTCTCTTGAGTGATGTTGTTGAAGAAATAGTCGAAAGGGATCGCCGCAGGCTGGCGAAGGAAGTGGTACGGATATGCAGCTTTGCCTGGGGAGTAGTAACCTGGTGAGCCCAATATCAAGACCTCGCTACATCCCACCGTACCTGTTTTTGCTAACAAGTTGATGTAGTTTAGGAGCTGGTAGCATCACTGCGTTTTCCCTTTACGGCCCCTTGTTTCTCACCCGTCTTCATTACACTCAACTCCGAGTAAATGCTGTATCGATTGCTGCTGGTGTGTCCATGTACCTTCCAGTCTCAATCTTCGGATACCTCTGTGACCGGTATACCCCGTCGCCGCTGGCTTTATTTTCCGGTACGGTGTTCGGAATAGGCTACCTTTTAGCTGCAATCGTGTACAAGAATGGTCCACCTCCAGATGCCGGTGGAAATGGATACCCTTTCTGGATGATGGTGGTGGCTTTTGTGTGCGTCGGGACCGCCACAAGTTGCATGTACCTGGCCGCCGTCACGACTTGCGCCAAAAACTTTGGCAGGGGCAAACACAAGGGCATTATGCTTGCCATTCCTATAGCTGCTTTTGGCCTCAGTGGTATGTGGCAGAGTCAAGTGGGTACTTACCTTTTGTATGAACAGCTAGAAGATGGCAGCCGTGGCGATGTAGACGTCTTCCGATACTTCATTTTTCTTGCCGCACTGCTTTTCGGTATTGGTGTCATTGGGACTTTTGGATTACGAATTGTCGGTGAGGATGAGGAGAAGTATATTGACGAAGCAGTCGAAGAACTTGAGAGGAGTGGCCTCTTGGAAGAGAGCGAGTTCTTCCGGTCGAGAAGCGAGGTTAGAGCTGCGTATGGAACATTCTCGCAGTCCGATGCAGATGACGAAGAACAAACGCTATCACTGACCCAAACTGAGGAAGAGAGGGAGGCAGCACGGCTCGAGAAAGAGAGAGAGGAGGAGGAACGCAGGAAGAAAAATTGGCTATTGAACTGGGAAACAAAGGTGTTCCTCAAGGATCATACGATGTGGTGGCTTGCCTTGGGCTTCTTCTTGGTTACCGGACCGGGAGAAGCATACATTAACAACGTAAGTGGCATTCACACATTGCCATTGTACACCGATTTGCTGATCTTTCTAGCTGGGTACTGTGGTCGGAGCCCTGACCCCAGAGTCAAGCTCTTCCAATGCTCCTACTCCTGCCGGCAAACCATCTACACATGTGACAACTATTGCGCTTACTTCAACAATTGCCCGACTCCTCACAGGATCCCTGTCGGACTTCTTCGCACCCCCAGCAACCCATCTCTTCCCAAATAACTCAGAAACTGTACGCCCCAGCTCACGGTCCGGATCAAAGCGAGTTACTCTATCACGACTAACATTCCTCCTCCCATCCGCTCTTCTCCTCTCACTTGGCTATCTTCTCCTCGCATCTCCCTTTCCAGTCCAGCACCCGGAATTGTCCCACATAACCACAGGCCTAATCGGCTTTGGTTACGGAAGTGCATTCTCCCTCTGCCCCATCATCATCTCCGTCGTCTGGGGCGTCGAGAACTTCGGCACGAATTGGGGTATCGTTGCCATGTTCCCGGCAGCAGGCGCTGCACTGTGGGGCCTCATCTACTCCCGCTTTTACCAAGACGCCACAGATGGAGGCAATGGCTCAACAGACGGCCAGTGTCACGGCTGGAAATGCTTTGGCTACTGGGCCTTGGGATGTACGCTGAGCGTATGGGTGGCTATTGCCGCGTGGGGTGTCGCTTGGAGATCATGGAAACGCAGGGGCGTTTCTGTTTGAATTGCGTATTATTCACTCTTATATAGTTCCACCAGGATGCAATACCGGATAGAGGCGTATATTGGTTGATTTATTCTGCTTTGGTCATATTCAGGCAGGCGAGGCGAAGTTGGCAATCTAAGTTATGGTATCTCCTTTTGAATTCATTATCATTGTTCCCATTCACATAGTAGAACTATGTAACATATGCGTGTTCCCGAAATACGATTTACACATAATGCAAGCGTATGGAAAGAAATATCTCACCTAACAGATGATGCAAGAAACCCCAACCCACTCCGAGACACCAGATACTCCAATACTTCGGAACAGAGAAAAAGAATAACCAATAAAAGATACCAAGATACCATATACAAGGTATGATCACCAAAATAACTCTACTTACCATATAAACAATATTTAAATATCAGTTGCAGACGGATCAAGACCCATAAAGACCTTGTAGAGCCGTTTACTCGCCGCAGGCCCAATACGGGAATCTGTTAGTGCACCGTTTCTGTTTGCAGATTTCTATTTGCACGGGTTAGTTTACTTGAACAGCCATGTAAATATAGTGTAATAGTTAGGCTTTGGAATCAAACGCAGTGAAAAAAGTATAACATACCTTTACATCCTCCAACATGGCCGGGCCATGCCTTCGCATTCCACGAACTAGATCAACGGCACTTGGATACTGGGTTGCAATGCCGTATGCCATGGAAGCCGTGACACGGTTCACTTCCTGGAGCATTTTGATAAAAGTATCGGATTTGTTTTCGCCGGGTTTGACCTGGCCTCCGTCCATGCAAAAGGCGGAGTCATTGCCTTCCATTCTTTCGCGGCGGTAGGGAACGGTCGAGATGTGTTCTGTGAAGTTTTTGATCCATTCGGCTGAATCAGGGGGTGCATTGGTGTGGTGGATGAGACAGGAGTGCGTAACTTGGAGGGAGAGAAGAGCGTCTTCGATTGTGTCGTCGGAGACTGAGGGCGTAGTTTCGGGTTTGCTGCTGGTTGTTGTTTTCTTGCGGCGGGAATTGATGCTGGCGGGTTGGTCTTGGGTTTGGGATTGTGAGTATTGGCGACGGACTTCGGCTTGGTAGGCTCTGTTTCGGGAGTTATTGTTCTTGCGCATCCAGGCTGTGAGGCCTTCGATTAGGTATATCGGTGTGTAGTTGGGGTAGGTGGATTTGAGTCGGTGGACGTGGTGGTCGAGATCGTTTGTGGTTGGTGAGGTGTCTATCACCATGTCGACGAATTCTTGCGCCGTTAGAAGAACAAGAACGTGTTCTTCTCCGCGAATATGAAACGGACATGGTTCCCAGTGGCCGAGGGTATCGTTGTATCTGGCCGTGACCTTCCGCCGCCATTTGACGACCTTCGGAATCTCGCTCTCGAAAAACGTCTGCTCGACCTTGAGCCGTTTCATGACCTCCACCGTCTGATTTCCCACGCTCGTTCCCTCGAACTCCTCTGCAAGATCGATGATCATCTCCGGTGTGGACTCCTTCTTATCCACCTTCAGCTTATTCACCTCCGCGAGATCGGCCGCAAGTTGTTTCTCCCGCGCTTTCTCCTCTTTGGCCTTCTGCTTCCGCTCCTTCTCTAGCTGTTTCTCCTGCTCACGCTGCGCCTTCTTCGCCTCCCGCTCCTGTGCCTTGGCTTCCTTATCTGCACTCGTCGGCTTCGTAGCCGTCCTCCGCGGCGCCTTAGGCTTCCGAGGCTGAACCACTTCGTCCACCTCATCTACCTCCTCTTCCATATCAACACGCCCCCTCCGACCCGACGACACCCCACCACTAGACCTAGCCCCCAAATTTGACCGATCAAGACTCGCCAGCAAACTCGCCGTCCGACTCGATAACCCAGGCCGCTTGTGCGCTGTAGTATCCAACTCAAGCAACTCATTCAGGTCCGATATTGCGATCTCATCGCTAAACCCCTCGATCTCATCGCGCGTATCGCCCCTACCCATCCCTCCTTTTCCATGCCCATGTCCATGTCCACTCCCAACACCACCACCAATTAAACCATAATCATCATCATCGTCGTCATCATCAATCGTAATCGTATCCACCCCGCGCCCTCCCCCCTCCCTCACCCCAACCGCACTCCCAGGCCCAGGAGCCGAAGAAGTGAAAACAATCGGATCCTCCTCCTCTCCTCCTCCACCTTCACAAGGCCTTATCCCATCCGACGATGGCAGAATATCATCCGAAAAAAGGAACAACGGATTCCTCGATGCCGGGATATGCGTTTTGCGCGCCGGTTTCACTGAGGGCGGTTTGGGAGGACTTGTGGGCTCTTCTTCGTTTAGACGGGGTCGTTTTGGGGGGTTGATTTTGTCGTTATCGTTGTCGTTATTTTTGTTAATATTGTTATTAACGTTGTTGTTGTCGTCATCGTTATAGGTGGGTTCGGGGAGGTCCCAGTCCGAGGAGAGGATTGGGAGCGTGAATGGTCGGGGTGGTGGGGGGATTGGGGATGAGGGGATGGAAGGGCGACGGGGTTGGTAGGAGGGGGGTGGAAGGGGCGGTGTTGAGGAGAGGAGGTTTATTACCTCTGGCATTATAGAATCTTGTTTCCTTTTTTGGGGGGGTGGTGGTTGTTTTGGATGCTTGTGTCTGATAAGGAGATTGATATGCAAATATGCACGTGTTGTCGCGTAGGATGCGCGAGGTCACGTGGTGATAACGGGGGGCTTTATAGTTATTATTATGTATGGGTTCATTGGATGATTGAGGGTTATTGTATTGGATTGTGTCTATTTTTATTATACAAGAAGGCAATGGAAGCGCGGGGGTATTATCAGCAGCAACAGCAACAACAACACTCAGAACGCCTTTAGGACAAAAGCAGCAAGCAGTGAGAGTGCGACTCCGGACAAGGCCAAGAGGACGAGGATCTGCTGGAGTCCGGCGAACGGACGTCTTTCGCGCGCGAGCATGTCCGAGATCTCCTCCTCGAGTCGGTCGCCCATGGCCGTTAGGGAGAATTCCCGCTCCACTCGCTCTTTCGCGGCAACGGACATCCTATCGAACTCTTTCTGGTCCATTCCGTAGAGAACCTTATCCATGACCGCCGTCCAGTCGGCGTCTTTCTTCGCATCTCGAAGCCACCCCGTTTCGCCCTCGACGATTGTCTCCAATGGGCCGCCGGTATTCGACGCCAAGACGGGGATGCCAGCGCGCATTGCCTCGACAGGCACAATACCAAAGTGCTCATTGATAGGCGTGTAAAGAAGCAATTTCGCGTGCTCGAGGAGCATATCCCGGAACGCAGACGGCACGGACAACAAAAACAGCACATCAATCGAATCCGGAACGGACAGGGCTGAGATGACCGTCTTAGATGTAGCAGTTTGCAATCCTAGACTAGTAGCAAGTTCATCCAGTTCTCGATGATACTGCACATTCTCCTGGACCCGGTTATCATAACCACCTATAGCACCATCGTCAGCCAAACACCCACACCCAACATCGACTAAACAAAGAAGAGAAAAAAGACATACCAGCAACAACCAACCTCGTCCCCTTCCTCTTCTCCGGTCCCAACCCATGATACGCACGAATAGCAAGTGCCATATCCTTCTTCCTTTCAAACCGATTAATACTCAAAAAAATCTTCTTCCCACCCCACAGCGCCTCCCCATCCTTCACAATTACCGGGCCCTTCGAAGCCGCCGGCTCCGTATCAACACACGGATAAACAACACTAACATCGCCGAGTTTCTCACCCCCAAAAACCTCCCTCACAACACCCCTCGTAAACCTAGAATTCGCAACAACCTTATCAGAAGCACTCATTGCCCACCCCTCAAACCAATCAAACGGGTACCGATAAAACGTCTTCACAAAACTCAGGAGAGACCCTCCCTCACCCCGAAACGCAAGCAACTGGTCTGGAAAATGACAATAGAAGAGGATGCGCTGTCGTTGTCGCGCAAATGTCTTTAGAAAGGGTACACAGGCGGGGACCTGGTCGACGATGAAGATGTCATCTTCTAATCCCTCGCTATCTTTACTTTTCTCGTTCGCATCGCAAGTATGAGATATCTCTCCCAGGACTGAAACGGTGAGATGTAATTGTCTTAAGATCGCCATGAGAACATGGAATCGTCGGAATACATGTGCGGGGAATATCGTGTTGCCCCGCACTTTGACATCGAGGGTGCCATCGCGCGCTTCTTCGAAACAGTGTGATTTGTCGCGATGTGAGGTGTAGATCGTTACTTTGTGGCCGCGGTTTTGGAGCGCAAGCGCCACGTCGATGATAAGACGCTCGGCACCGCCGATGCCCAGATCGGGGTGGATGATGATCACGTTAGAGCGTTTGAGACCCGGCATGGCGGTCTCAGAGTGGAATTGGGGGCTTTTTACGGGGTGCGAGGGTGAGTGGGCATTTCTGTAATTGCTGTTGCGAGCTGGAGCTTTGGTAGAGTATGCGACACGCGGCCATTGGCTACGTCATGTGACGATATGGGGGTTATCTGTTAAAATCTGATAAGGATTCGTCGTGTATATAAAACACTTCATTCATGACTAGAGTTATTTGTTCAACCAAGTTATGGCTCAGTACTCTAATGCCACTGCATGAACTTTGCCTATATGCCCAGAGATCCCATAAGCAGGGTTGTTAGTAACTACCAGTAGTAGGGCAGCAAGGAACAATCAAGAGCTACAGACAAGCCTACGAAACTACGACGCAACAAACGGGAGCTGTCCAAAACTGTCATATGACGATCTTTATATACACATTGCTCAGCGCCATTTTGTTCAGCCTAAGATTCGGTATGTATAGACGTACAAACATCAGGCTAAGTCAATAAACCACACAGAAATATGTCATAAGGCAGGATTCGTAATGCAAAACAAGAGGGAGAAACGGGGCATGGAGGGTAAACAGACAAAATAGTGCGAATACACACGTGAGTGGAAAAAAACAAACAAAAAAGGTATCGAGAATTGAACAAGGGGAATCGGCGTCGAATTCATAATACAGGGGAATGAACATCGTCTCTTAAGGGACAAACAAAACAACGCATCTATGAGATAAGAAAAAATATCATGGAAGTCCAAGAACTAGAAGCAGTTGAGGGTGCTCTTCTTTTTCTTCTTATTAAGCGCATTCATGCGCTCCTCAAGCTGAGCTCTGGCGGCTTCAGCTTCCCGGCGAGCATTTCTCTCTTCTTCCACAGCTTGGAGTGACAGCCGCTGAGAGTTGCGTTCTTTGCGAAGGGTGGTCAGCTCCTCCTCCAGCTGCCAGGCCTTCTTCTTCCAAGCCTCACAATCGGTCTTGACCTTGTTACTCTGGGCTTCAAGGTCTCCGAGGGCTTCTTCCAAAGTAGCAGTGAGCTGCTTCTCAGCGTAGAGATGCTTCTCTATAGTGCGAATACGAGCCTCCTGGTCCTCAACGACCTGGGTATTGGCCAATTCTTTGCTGGCGTGGCGAGAGCTTGGGGGAGAGATGCTACCAGAGGTGCCGTTGGTAGCGGAAGCAATGGTAGGGAGAGGTGGAAGGGGAATGGCAGGTGGTGGAGATGGGAGGGATGTAGCAGAAGAGCTCTTCCGCAAGTTAGAGGTGATAGAGCTGCTGCGATCGTGGGAGGTAGAATCCTGGCCTGAACTGTTCTTGATTTGAAGCTGCAGATCCGTTAGTGGTTGGACACCATCGGTTATTGTCGGACGACTTACCTCAAGCTGTTCAATTCGTACTTTGTAAGTTTCGATATCCGTCTCGTAAGTAACAATCTTAGCCTTTGCATCCTCCAGAGCCTGGTCACGCTCCTGTTGAATAACGGAGAGACGGTTGTGGTGCTGGTCGAAACTATTGGTGATTTGGTCTTCGAGCTCCTCCACGAGGCGAACACTCTTCTCCTTCTCAGCCGAAATCTCCGCAACAAGCTCTTCCTTCTTCTTGATCTGCTGTTCTCTCTGGTTGAGGGTATCTTCAAGTGTAGCAACCAGGACGGCAAGCTCGTTCACCTTTGCCTCTTTCTCAGTGTTGCTCTTAGTCAGCTCGTCAACACGGTCGGTGTCATTGCTCTTGAGCTCTAGTTGCTTGCGGAGATCTTCATTCGTGCCCATCAATTCGGCATATTTATCAGAGAAATGCTGCTTTTGAGTCAGAATCTCTTGGATCTGGTCGGCCAAATTGTCTGCGGTCACATCGGAGTTCAGAAGGTTGGAAACCATCTTGAGCAACTTCACCAATTCGTCCCGCGATTCCGTGATCTCGGTTCTCAGAGCCTTCAGGGCATTGTCATGCTCAGTATCCTTCTCCGTGAGCTGTAGTTCATACTCGGCCTGTGCCGCAGCCTTAGCGCGTGCCTCCAACTCGACAAGCTCTGCTTTGTGTGATTCCTGCAAGGAGTCTAAGTCCTTCTTGTATGAATCAGCATGTGATCTGTGGGACTCGATTTCCTGCTCAAGTTCAGAAACACGGGTCTGACGCGATTCGATCTCATTCCCGCTGGCGTCTTTCGAGGCGAGAAGCTCCGACAGCTGTTGCTGGGCTGCGCTGTGGGACTTCTCGAGGGAGGAAATTGTGTCCACGTGAGCAGCAGCTGTAGACTTATGCTGCTCGATATCACGCTTCAGTCCCTCGACTAGCTCCTGCTGCTGGGATCTCTCGGTCTCTAGAGCCTTTGCGGCTGCCTCCTTCTCAGCAGACGATGCTTCACCTGCAGCGGCTCTTTCGGCGCGCATTGAATCCAGAGTGGCCAGAGCACTGTTGAGCTCTGCCAGCGTGGTACTGAGCTGCTGCTCTGAAGATTGCAGAGATTCAACAGCGCTCTGGTGCTTGGTCTTCCACTGTGTCAATTCGCCCTCAAGAAGGCCGATCTTTTTGTCTTGCTCCTCCACGCCAGCATCATATGCTTTGGCGGCTTCCTCTTGGGTCTTGAGAAGAGCCTTCAACTCCTCAATTTCAGCAAGGAGATGCTTTTCTCTGGCCTCGTGCGCTTCCTTCATCTCGTTGATGATATTCTCCTGTTGGACAACTTGGTCGCGCAACTGGGAGACGAGACCCATATCCACCGAGGAAGCGCTACCTTGCAAACTGGACCGTTCACGAGTAAGCCCAGATATGATGGTTGATTTCGTCTCCATTTCCTTCTTCACGCTCTGGTTCTCGGCTTCCAAGGCCTGGATACGTTCCATACGATTGTGCAGTTCGTGCATAGCTGAATCCAAATGTACCTCAAAGTTTTGCATCGTATCAGGACGACTTTCAAATTCTTCCACTGCGATGTTCCGCAAGGCGGCTAGAGACCGATGGGCTCGGTCGACATTTCCAATCAGGGTTTGGCTTGACTTCCTTCGAATGACAGGCTTATAGCCTGGTGTCGTTGGGGGAGAAACTCTTGGCTTCTGAAGTTCGGATTTCAGTGATTCGATGAGATGTAGGGTCTCGGCGTGCTCGGCTTGCAATTCAGCATATTTTTGGGTCATAATACTAACACCTTCCTGATGCTCGGAGAGCAGCCTGCGCATGTGCTCGACCTCCTGTGCCTTGGCCTCGTCACTTTCAGACACTGTATCGACATGGTTTTCTGCTTCGGGTCCGGACTTGGTGTTAGATGATTCGTGCGAAGCAGCAGGCTCCCCGACCAAGGATAACTCCGATGAGAGTGATCGCGAGGAGGACTGTTGTATTCCAGTCTTCGAGTCGGGGGCCTTGGCATCCTCTAAAAAAGACACCGGTCGCGACGTAGGGGCTGGTGAGATGAGCTGGCGAGCATCGGGTGAGGAATGCCGAGCTTCGTCTGCAGCATCCTGTCGCAGATCGGCTAGTTGCTTCATAGCTTCCTCATATTTGGCCTCGAGCATCTCATACTCGCTGAGTGTGGACTCGTGCTGCATACGCAAATCGAATAGCTCCTGAGTAACTGTATCGAGCTTATCTGCAACTACCCTGGATTGAGTCGGGCTAGGAGTCCGATCGATCTGGAGGCGGTCGGTAGCGTTTTCCAAGACTTTAAGATCCTCATTAGCCTCAACAACCGGCTCTGAAATGAGGGTGTCGCCCTCAACCTCGGGGACGGGTTCGCCTATGTCCTCATCAGACTCCGGGATAGCAGTCTCAACAGCTTCGGTTAACACATCAAGGGACGCCGCTCGTCGTTGAGGATGATAAGCACGCTTGACAGGTGTCTGCATCTCCGGTCCTTCGTGGTCTCTTGTTGCGCTGCCGTTCTGCTGGCTGTGATCAAGATCGTATAGGAGGTTATCCAACTTCCCCAGGCTTCGTTGACGCTCGATGACATGCTCCAGGCGATCAACTTCTCGCTGCATAAGTTCCATATCTTGGTCGGCTTCCGCCAGGCGCTCTTCCAATGTCGTTATGTAATCTTCACAATTAGCTTCACTTTCACGCGCGCGAGTTAATTCTTTACGAAGCTCTGAGATGATGGCCGCTTGTTTCTCCTCACCAGAGGACTGCCCATCAAGCCTAGACTCCAGCTCATGAAGGTAGGTCTCTGTACCAGATTCTCGTTCGAGGAGCTTCTGGATACGGGCTTGAAGTTGTGTATTAACGGTTTCGACGTAAGTGCATCTGGTCTCGCGCTCCAGAAGTGTGCTTTCGGTTGTCGATAGGGAAGATCGCGTATTGGAAAGGGAAGATTCGAGACTCTGGATGGTCTTCTCATATTCCAGCACCACTTGCTCAACAGATTCCGCGAAAGAATGAGACCGTTTCAACCTTTCAATGGAGTTTTTACCGATGTATGACGCGGCGTCATTCGAATCTGTGCCCTCTTCCGTTTCCGAATCTCTAGCAAGTTCGGAAATTAGCTTAGCATGCCGTTGACTGAGCGCATTATAGCTTTCTTGAATATCGAGGAGTTGGTTCTGAAGGTCCGCCTCCCTTTCATTCTGACGCTCCGACCGGTCTTGGGGACCGACGCTGCGCCGTTCATTATCCTCAGCATTGCGGAGCTGTTGTCGCAAAAATGACACCTCCGCTTTAAGTCTTTCAATGACGGCATGCTTGTCGCTCTCATCGTGTACTTGCTGAATTCGAGGTTTACTCTGGATCGCCCTCGCTCTCTGCGCGTATTGGACTGTGTTCAACGTCTCACTCAGGTGGAACTCTGCTGGCGTCACACACGCAATCATGTAGGTGTACGCATTTCCGCCCAGGGAGTCTTGCAAGAGCCGTGTAAGCTTCGAGTCACGATAGGAGACGTGAGAGCCTGCTTGACGAGAGGACAATTGCGAGATGACCTTGCCCAAGGCAGCCAGACCAGCATTGATCGAGATACCTTCTTTAGCGCGCTCTCCAGATGCTCCGGTATTCTTCAACCTTTCGCTTCCAGCAAGGTCAACGAAATGGAACTTGCTCTCCACAGTAACGGAAACATCAGAACCAGTGGGCAGATCGGCAGGCATGGACATCCG